TTCCAACAAAGAATAGTGACGCGCGCGGTGGGCGGCGCCGGGGAAGCGCCGTGCGTGCAGGACAGCCTCCGGTCGCCTCGCGCCAAGCAGCACGCCGTCGGGGACCGCACCGCACCACGGCGAAGCAGCACGCCGTTGAGGACCCCAGAGCACAGTGGGCCAGAAGACCGGTGGAGGCGGCCAAGATTCTAGACGCGTTTTGAGCTCCAGAGTCGCTAAATACGTAGGACTCGAACCGAACGTGTGACCCCCACCAATGGATTGCTCTCCGAACGCGGAATCCGTTGGTGGGCTCACACGTTTGGTTCAAGCACTGTTTAACGGCTCTGGAGCTCGAAAGCACGTCTAGAATTTCAGCCGCCTCCACCGGTCTTCTGGCCCACTGTGCAGTGTCCAGAGCGACGCAGCTCGCCGTCGTCGGGACGCACGTTGGCCGTTTGGCCGTGACGCTCCGGTCGGACAGATCGCTCATTGTGCTGCAGACTATTCCGAGAGACGTTCTCCACTCTGTCTATCTCGCACCCATACTCAACGCCCCATGAGTGCGAGAGAGACAGAGCGACGAAAGCGAGCCTCAGAGTCAGTCTACTGTTGGCTGTTCCTGGATTTGGCGGCCCATTAGCCCGACCGTGGAAACATGGCCGACAACGGACTCGGCGCGGAAACAACTTCACCGCAGCGCGTTAGCCGTGGCCAAGGCCGTGATCGTCCAGCCAAATGTGTTATCGATGGCGGGTCGATGTACCGATCCTAGCTGGATAGAAGGATAGATAGATGCTTCAGTTCTTGACATACCGACGCGGCTCGGCCGGGGTCATGTCTATCATCATTTGCAACCCAGCTGACACGCACTGCTCTATCAGTTGTTTTTCACCCGTATTAATCAAGCCACTTTTTACACTGCGCCTACTTGCTAAGCATGCCGTTTTGTTTTTGTTCGTTTTCGTCTCTTTTTTCGACGGGGTAGCTTCCAGCCTATAAAAGTGGGCAGCCCAGGATGCATCTAGCAGTAAAGCCCTGCTGAGGTCATGGGTCAGCAATGGAGCCGGCCCGTCCGACCAGCCCCGCGGCCAGGCCGGGAGTCGTTTTCGTCGCTCTGTCTCTCTCGCACTCATAGACCATCCCGTAGAGGTGTGAGAGAGACAGAGCGACGAAAGCTGACTCTCGAAAACAGTCTGCCGAGCACCGATAGGCCGAGCCAGCAGCGGCCTGCTCTTAACCGAACTCCAGTTTACGGGCCTGTCTCGGGCCGCGGCCTCCGCGCCACCGCGACACGGTAAGTAGCCCCGCGTACGCGACCCGACTGTCAACGCGCCGACGGGCGCAGCGCGGTGCACAGCAGACTGATTCCGAGAGTCGTTTTCGTCGCTGTCTCTCTCGCACTCATAGGGCGTCCCGTGTAGGTGCGAGAGAGACAGAACGACGACAAAGTCTTTCGGAAAGCAGTGCATGCGTGCAGCTTGAACGTTGCAGCTGACTGACTCCGAGAACCTTTTTATCGCGCTGTCTCCGTTGCACCCACACGGGACGCCCCATGAGTGCGAGAGAGACAGAGCGACGAAAGCGACTCTCGGAATCAGTCTGCTGCGGCGGCCTCTCAAAGTTTTCTCCGCGATATTACGGATGGGCTCTTCATGCGGAGAGAGCTTTGCGTCGCCCACTCGAAATTTACGGGGTTGTTGAGAAAATTTTTACGTCAGCGGAAAACACTTGGAGTCCGATAGCCCCTTCACTAAATCGAGGGGAGGAGCTTTTACGCTTTCAAGAGTGTTTTGTGCTCATTCTCGGTATTTTCGAAATGAATTACTTTTTTCTGTCTTTAAAAGAGATTCTTTTTTCGGAAAACATGTTGATACAAAGCTTGATTTTGTACAGGTGTGCAGTGACACTGTCACGGCTTGCGCGGCGCGCAGTCCCCGACGCATCCCGGTTTGTGAAAGGTGCCCCAGCCCGTCACCACCTCGGCAGCGCCACACCGGCATGCAGCACTGCACTCTGCACACTGATTCCGAGAGTCGTTTTCGTCGCTCTGTGTCTCTCTTGCAACTATAAGGGACGCCTCTCGAGTGCGAGAGAGTCAGAGCGACGAAGGCAACTCTCGGAATCAGTCCACTGGCTGCGCGAGGCGGCAGGTACGTTGCGGCTCGTGATTTTGCCTCGGCAACCATTTCACCGTAAAACCGTCCGGCACGGCCGTGGCCCCGCCGCCTTGCCGCCTTGCCGCCGAGCCGGCCACCCAGACCGGGGAAGAGAGAAGATCGGGGTGTTTACACCCGGCCGGACTCTGTGGCGGTGCTTGCCGCGCCACGCCACGCCACGCCACGCCGCGCCACGCCACGCCGCGTCCAAAACAGGATTTGCACGCAAATTGAGCGTCGGATCAAACACGGGCCCTTCTTCTTGTCCGGCCGGGCCGGGCCGGGCCGGACCCCTTTGAGAGCGACGAGACTCGGCGCATTTCCACATTTCAAGCCGAGCCGATGGCGAGCCGATGGCAAGCCGATGGGGTCGACGATTGGCCGGGGCGGCCGAGGCTGACGGGGAGCTCTCTGGCGCGGCAAGGGTCGGCGGCAGTCGGCAGCGCGCGCAGTTTGGACGCCGGTGCCGTCGTGGGAACGCCACATGCTCAGTACGGACGGGGGTCGCCGGGCCAATGTTGTTGATGCGCCGTTTAGGAAAATTTCATTTGGATGAGGCGCTGGGTGGCGGCTTAGATGGTGGTCTGGTTGGGGGCCTGGATGGCGACGGGAATTGTGGTCTGGATGATGGCCCGGTTGGTGGCTTGGATGACGGTCTGGATGGTGTTCTGGATGGTGGTCTGGATGGTTCTCTGGATGGTGGTCTGGATGGTGGTCTGGATGCCCTTACAGAACGAGAAGTCCTGATTCGGGCTGCTGGGATGGACTCATGAGGGACTGATGGGTGGACTGACGGCATACTGAAGGGACTGAGTCCGACAGGTTGACCAAGGGGTTGAACGGGTTGAAAAGGTTTCATATTTCGGACTAAATTCAACCTCGGAACGGGTTGATACTAGTCCGACCGGGTTGAATCGGTCGGTCGAAAAAACGAACAGAAGCGAGAGTTGAACCCACACGTTCGGCTTGGTGTCCCGACACCTTAGCCGTTACACCACGGCTCATCTCTGCTTCACGGACTGACGCGGAGCGGTCTGTATCTTCGCTTGCGCCTAGCTGACTCTTGTCTTTTGTGCGCTGTTATGCGCCCAGGCAAGTTGTATGGCGAATGATAAGTGTTTGTGCCTACACCCACTGTATTCTCGTAATGAATTTCAAGCTTGGACGAGCTTGGACTTGCACCCAATAAGTTCGGTGCCGATAAGTTCTGGGCAGCGGCCTGCATTGATTTTAGTCAAAAAGTTTCGTTGCTCACTAAAATATATTTTGCATTTTTCTTTTCGTCCCGTCCATCTGCCTTGCATTGGTCGACTTACGTACATAACCACGTGGCTGTCTCTTAATATTTGACTAATAACTCCATCGTGGCCATCCTCTATCAGTTCAAAGAGTGTGGGAAGAGTCCGACTGGTCCGCCAAGGGACACTGCGGGGTTGGCCAGGTTGACTAGCGGACTGGATGGACTAGGGGCGTACTGGTCAACCCAGGGCATACTCTGAGGAGACCAGCAGGTTGACCAAAAGTCCGACCAAAATACTCTGGTATACTGACGTTGGACCGTGGCACACTGATGCATACTAGTATCAGCCTGTTCGCAACCTCTCTGTGGACTTCTCGTTCTGTAAGGGTGGTGGTCTGGATGGTGGTCTGAGTGGTTGTCTGCATGGTGGTCTGGATGATGGCCTGGGTGGTGGCTTGGATGGTGGCCCGGATGTTGGCCTGGATGGTGTGTGGATGGTAGCCTAGGTGATGATCTGGATGGTGGCCTGGGTTGATGATCGGGATGATGGTATAGATGCATCCATACCATCGTTGACCTGGATGTTGGCCTGGGTGATGGTCTGGGTGATGGCCTGGATGGTGGTGTGGATGCTGACCTGGATGGTGGTCCGGATGACCATGTGGACGGCGGCGCGGCCGATTCGGCGGCATTTCGATCGCACGCAGATTACAATAACCGGCTAAGTGGGTGAATAACCCCAGCCCGGCTGCCACCCGCCCAGCTCCGCCGGTAATGAACCTTCTTTTGGACCCCTGCGGGCTGACTCCAAACAGTGCGCTCTGTCTCCCTCGCACTCACGGGGCGTCCCGCGCGGGGTGCGAGAGAGGACAGAGCACTGCCCGGAATGAGACTACCGGACGGACCGCAACGTTGCCGCGGGCCGCGGGTCGGGGCGTGGCAATGGAAATAAGGCTTTATGCGCGGGGTGGCTCCGCCGCTCCGTCGGGCTGCCTCGGCTTGGGTTTCTAGTCCGATTCGACTTTCTGAGCTTCTGGTCGGCCGATACAGCCAACACGTGTCCGATTCGAGCGGCCAGTTCGCGAGCCGAGCGGAGCCGAGGGGGCAGTATGTGTGTGGAACCGGAGTACAAGACTCCGAACACACACTCACACTGACGCACATTCGCGCGCGCGTACACACACACACACACACACACACACACACACACACACACACACACACACACACACAAAGGCAGCTCGCATCGCCTCGGATCTCCGCCACGCCCTCTCAAATGGATGGGCGAATGCCTGAGAGGTGCCGGCCTGATGCCGGCCTGCCTGTGTGCGCGGAGTTGGCGCGGTGGCGGTCTTTGTTCCATCCAGATTCATCAAGCGAGCCGCCAAGCCGCCAGGCCGCCAGGCCGGGCTGGGCCAAGCCGCGCTTCCAGAGAAATCGCTTAGCCGCCGTCAAAACGAAACATACCCTTGAGATGAAGGCCCACACCAAAATTGAAAATAAAACAACAAAGAGCATCAACACAACAGCCACAATCACAACAACGACAAAGGAATAAAATGACACTGAAGAGAAAGTTAAGTTGAAAAGTTTGATGAAAATTGGGATAGGTTGTTGTTGAATTAACCAGTCCATCCCTGCTTGAACAGAATCCTGCAGTTATAATCAGGTGTTTTGATGACATGGTCGTTATAAAGACCAAAGACACAAAATACCTCTTGACAGGGTACTGTAAGCGTAATACTAACATATATTACGTATGGACTGTTCACCAAGGATCTTCCTTGGCGGTCTTGGCAGGGTACCATAGTGTCTTGCTGCGCGACGCGGCACGCCGCCCGGCCCCGCCCCACCCCACACTACCACGCCCCACCACGCCCCCCCACGCCCCCGCCACGCCCCCCCAGCCCCGCCACGCCCCGCCCGCCCCCCCACGCCCCGCCCCGCCCCGCCACGCCCCCCCCACCCCCCCCACGCCCCGCCCGCCCCGCCCCCCCCCCCACGCCCCGCCAAAGCCCCGCCACGCCACGCCCCGCCCCGCCCCGCCACGCCCCCCCACGCCCCGCCACGCCCCGCCACGCCCCGCCACGCCCCGGCGCCGCCATCCTTGACTTTGCATTCTGCCGTGTGTGCGGCGCACTGCCGCGCGCTGTGTGCCCCTCGTGTTAGCGCGCGCCGCGTCTCTCAAGTGTCTCAGCCCTTTCCCCTCATTTTGGTCCTGGCCTGCGCTGCTGGCTGCTTCCGAGAGTCGTTTTCGTCGCTCTGTCTCTCTCGCACTCGCGGAGCGTCTCGTATGGGTGCGAGCGAGAGAGAGCGACGAAAACGACTCTCGGAATCGGTGCGCTGGCGTGGCAGGCAGGGCGCTAGCGCTAGTTAGGCCCGCAGGCTGGTCGTTTAATGGGGCTCGCAGATACCCCGCGCTAATTCGCGGAGGGGCGCGCGGGGTAGCGACGGTACCGACGGCGGCAGCGGTAGCGCCCTGGGCTGCTGCCTCGCAATCGAATAATTGTTTCCAGGAGAATAGAGATAGGCGGCCGCCGACCGGTTGCCGTGCTCTCTCTCTCTCTCTCTCTCTCTCTCTCTCTCTCTCTCTCTCTCTCTCTCTCTCTCTCTCTCTCTCTCTCGCGCGCGCGCGCGCGCGCACCCGCATTGTTTTCCAATTAAGAAAAACGCGGCCTGACGCTCGCTGTGTCCAGAGAGTGATCCGCAAATATACGACGCTGGTGTTTCTGGTCGCACACGACGTCGGCAGGCACGCGGCCATTTACACGGCCCTCTCTCCTCCCCTCCCCTCCCCTCTCCTCCCCTCCCCTCCCCTCCCTCTCCTCCGTTCCCCTTCCCCTCCCCGCGCGGCTACCTGTGGCCGACACCGCGCCGCTACCGCGAGGAGTGCTTGGCCGGCCTGTCGGGTGGTCAGCAACGCCAGCAACCCAGACAATTCGATTCACATTAGAGAGGTCTGGACGGAGGTGTAACAGGTTCACCGCCTTGGAGCGGGCCGCGCTCCTTCCGAACAGTGCTCTCTCTCTCTCTCTCTCTCTCTCTCTCTCTTCTCTCTCTCTCTCTCTCTCTCTCTCTCTCTCTCTCGCAGTCGGTAGGCGTGCTGGAGGGGTGCGAGGGAGACAGAGCGACGAAGTGCTGCTGTTGGGGGTCGGCGGTCGGACGGGGCAGAAAGCAACGCCAAATGGATATGGAGGTGGCCGGCCGCCCCACACACGGTAAAAACGGTTCCTGGTTTTCCAAGGACCTCCCTAGAAATCGGCTATATGTCTACCATGGGCTTCCTCGGCAAACCTAGAACCGTTTTAGCCGTGCCAGCAAAAGCCGAGGCGACAGCAATAGCGCCTGTGGAGTAGGCTGACCCGCCGCACACCCGTGTTCGGTGGCACTGGCACTGCCTACCCTCAATTGCTATTACCATTACGGGCTGGACCACAACTGATCGTGCGCTCTGAATGCGTATCCCAAGCAGTGCTTTCGTCTCTCTCACACATCTCACCTTTTCCGCAGGCGCGGATCCAGAAATGGGTTGAGGGGGAGGTGATGTCGCAAAAGTTGCCTACCTACAGGGGAAATGTGCAACTTGTTGCCCACTTTCGGCCCCCCCTCTCCCGAATCCGCGTCTGCCGAACGTAGAAGTGCGAGAGAGACTGTGACGAACCACCGCCTTGAATCGGCCAGAACAATCAGACACCGCGCATCGGGTTCCGACAAAACTCATCGCCAAAATGGTCGTGTCCGTAATTTGTGCACTGGGAGTGCAAATAGCCGTCGATGGCGCGGTGACTCGGGGCTTTCACTCGTGTCACGGCAACAGCACCTGGAGTGGCTCGCGACTCACGGGTCATCGGCCGTCGGCACACCGTCGGCAGGCACACCGTAGGCTGGCACACTACAAGCAGCGCACTGCTGACGGGCACAGGTTTTCGTTTTGTTTTCTGGCGCCGCGGCCGAGGTTGTGGCCCACACGATCATACGGCCGCGCCGCACAGCACGCCGCACAGTGGGCCAGAAGACCGGTGGAGGCGGCCAAAACTCCTGACGCGTTTTGAGCTCCAGAGTCGCTAAATGGAACTCGAACCGAACGTGTGACCCCACCAATGGATTGCTCTCCAAACGAGCTATCCATTGGTGGTGTCACACCTTCGGTTAGAGTCCCATTTAGCGACTCTGGAGCTCAAAACGCGTCTGGAGTTTTGGCCGCCTCCACCGGTCTTCTGGCCCACTGTGCGGCGGCCGCGGACACCAACCTGATCGTCATTTTATCTCCAAGGCGCGACGCGTATGTAGGAATTTTATTTTTTGCATCCTCATACCGCAGATGCGCCGCCAAGGACCTCTAACCAACCCGGGCGCGCGGGGCGAGTGAGTGCTGGGAGAGTGACAACAGTCATCTTCTTCTCGGCGCGGCGGCAACCTTCGCTGTCACTCTTTGCCGATCCACCCAGCCGTGTTTGAGTGTGTGTGTGTGTGTGTGTGCGTGCGTGCGTGCGTGCGTGCGTGCGTGTGTGTGTGTGTGTGTGTGTGTTGTGTGTGTGTGTGTGTGTGTGTGTGTGTGTGTGTGTGTGTGTGTGTTTTGTGTGTGTGTGTGTGTGTGTGTGTGTGTGACGGTGCAATGATGCACGCACCATCACAGAGTGACGCCGGACATCCAATTGCAGACGCATCAAGGCGGCGTCCTGGCGGCGCGTCCTGGCGGCTCGGCGCCGCATCCGAGTGTCGTTTAGGGGCCCGTCGGCCCGTCCCACCTATCGCGGAGGCGATCGGGCGATAAAATTGTCACTGTCCGTCTCCGCGGCGACTGGTTCCGAGAGTCGTTTTCGTCGCTGTGTGTGTCTCTCTCTCTCTTGCACTCATGGGGCGTCCCGTGTGGACGCGAGAGAGACAGAAGCGACGAAGGCGACTCTCGGAGTCACTCCCTGCCGGCGGCCGCCGTCGCCTCGCCTCGCCAGGCCCAATAGGTAGAGGCGGCCGCCAATGAGTGTTAAACCAACGCGTCGCGCCTCTGTTCGCGTCGCTCGCTGCGATAGCAGTGGAGGCTAGAGGGACTCCCCGGAGGAAGTTCGGAATGATGGTCACCCGGACGGAGTGCGGCGGTGACGCCTGTCGCACGGCGAAATCACTCTGGAGATACGCTCCTGTTTCCGGTGGTTTGCCGTTCACCAGCGCTGCTGTGCGCTGGTTCTTTCAGGAGAGTTCTCGCTCTGTCTCTCTCGCACCCGTAGTACGACACGCCGCGTGAATGTGACTCACATGGTGCGACGAAAAGAAAGATGGAATCAGTCCGCAGAGGAATACGGCGGAAACGCGTTCGGAGACGTAAACGCACGCGGGGTCTTCTGCTAGGAGACGACGCGCGGGAGCGAGGGAGTGACGTCCAGCTCCAGGAGAGAGAGAGAGAGAGAGAGAGAGAGAGAGAGAGAGAGAGAGAGAGAGAGAGAGAGAGAGAGAGAGAGAGCACTGTTTCGGAAGCGGCCCGCAGCGGGACCTCCCCGGCGGCGGGTGACACTGCACCGGGTTGGGTCGCGTCTGGACTAGATGAGCCACGCGCGGCGCGCACACGTCCAGAATGCGAAGAGGGCCGGCCTTTAAAGAATCCCGTGCATTATGCTGATTGGAACAACAACAAAAACAACAACACGTGCAGCAGCAGCAGCATCAACAACGGCTTGCTTTATTGATAGCTGCATATTATTCTGCATGCGGTGGCGCGGGGCGTGGCGTGGCGGGGCGGGGTAGGGCAGGGTGGGGCGCGGCAGCGCGGCGGAGAGTAGCTACGTGCCGGCCGGTACCGCGCCGTTGAGTCACGTGCTACAACAAGAGGCGAGTATCCGTGAAAGCATCGTTTGTCTGCCCCCACCACGCTTGGCGGCCCTGGCGGCCCCTGCGGGCGCGCGGCACACTGTATTCCGTGCCGCGCCGTGCCACGCCTCGCCACGCCTCGCCACGCCGTGGCCGCAGCGCTATTTCACACGTAGTTACGCCCTGCCGCCCCGCGCCGCGCATGTTCGCCGCGCTTGACTTTAATCAATTCGAGGCGGGCGGACAGGCAGACAGACAGGTGGACGGCCGGGCAGTGACAGCGGCGACGCTGGGTCAGTCGGCTAGCCGGGCTCCGGGCTCGGAGTTCCGGGCGAGGCCGCAAGGCCGCGAGGCCACGCGCTGCGTCTGCAGGTCTGTGCATCGTCGCTCTGTCTCTGTCGCACCTTCACTCTTGAGCGCGCGCGCGGGAGAGAGAGAGAGAGAGAGAGAGAGAGAGAGAGAGAGAGAGAGAGAGAGAGAGAGAGAGAGAGAGAGAGAGAGAGAGAGAGAGAGAGAGAGAGAGAGAGAGAGAGAGAGAGCACTGTTCGCAACCGGCTGCTGGCCAACAAGTGGCCTCCCTCGCGGTTGCACGATTTGGCGGCATTTTTCTTGGTCGCGGACTCACCTCATTGGCGATGCCGTTGGCGTCGTGGTGCGGGCGCGGCGGCGGCGGCCGTCTGCTCTGCATCCACGGCGACGGCGTCACGATGCTGGTGGGCCTGCCGGGGAGGCTGCCGGGGAGGCTGCCGGGCGGGGTGCCGGGAAGGCTGCAGGGTCTGCCTTGGACGGCGTCGTCGAGACGACCCTCGGGTCGCGCCTCTAGTCTTGCGTCGGGTCTTGACTCGGGCCTCGGATCCAGTCGCGACTCTATCCTGGGCTCTGCTCTTAGCTCCAGCCGTGGCTCCATCCTGGGCTCCAACCTCGACTCCAGTCTGGACTCCACCCTTGAATCCATCCTTGGCTCGAGTCTGGGCTCCATCCTGGACTCGAGTCTTGACTCCATCCTGGGTTCTAGTCTAGGCTCCAACCTCGAATCCATCCTGGAGTCCAGTCTGGTCTCCATCCTGGACTCCATTCTCGGCTCCAGTCGGGACTCCACCCTGGGCTCCAGCCTGGACTCCGGCCTGCCCTCTGGGAACGAGGAGCTCTTGGCGGAGGTGGGGCTGGGCACGAGGGGCGCCACGGGGGGCAGGCCGTGCAGGGGCCGCGTCCACATGTCCAGCGGGGGCAGTCCCGGTGGCAGCCCCGGCGACAGCCCCGGGGACAGGCCGGCCGTCATGCCCGGCGGCAGCCCCGGCGGCGCGAAGCAGTGTGGCGGCATGCCCTGCAGGTGCGGCGGGAGGTGGTGCGGCAGGTGCATCATGGCCTCGTACGCGTGCTCGGGCAGCAGCCCGCACGCCGGCGGGCACATGCCCCCCAGCGGACGCGGCGGCGGCTTGGCGAAGCCCGGCGGGCAGCACTGCTGCAACTCGGCCACGGCCACCTTGACGTCGGGGCTGGACGACGGGTAGCTGTCCGACACGTCCTTGAGCACCTTGACCTGCAGGGCCTCGGCCGTGAGCAGGAACGAGCCCAGCCGGTCGCGGGACACGGCCACGCCGCCGGTGTACATGAACTGCAGCAGCGCGCGCATGTCCTCGCGGTGCACGTCCGCCAGGATGATGGTGGTGTGCTCCGAGCTGGGGTGCTCCAGCAGCAGCTTCTGCAACAAAAAGAAGAGGAACAACGTGAGTGGGGCTAGACCACCCGAGAAACGGCGCGGTGGGCCGCAGCAGGGCGTCACAGTGGGCCAGAAGACCGGTAGAGGCGGCCAAAACTCTTGACGCATTTTGCGCTCCAGAGTCGCTAAACAGGACTCGAACTGAACGTGTGACCCCACCAATGGATTCCTCGTTCGGAGAGCTATCCGTTGGTGGGGTCACACGTTTGGTTCGAGTTCTATTAAGCGACTCTGGAGCTCAAAACGCGTTTAGAGTTTTTGGCCACCTCCACGGGTCTTCTGGCCCACTGTGTGGCGAGGACCGCCCGCTGGCCGAGGCCACCGAGGACGCCGAGGCTGTGCTGCTTCCGTTCTGATTGTTTACGACGCGAAGCTGCTTTATCAATTTAGAGCAGGTAGTGCGTCTGAGGTAGCGGCGGCGAAGGCGAGCCGCAGCCAGGCCGCCGTCCACGCGACATCCCATAGATATGCCCTGTTGGCTCCGAATGGCGCGCCTTGTCGGCAGGCCCCTGGAGGCTGACTCCGAGGCGCCGTCGCTCTGTCTCTGTCGCACTCACGGGGCGTTCCGTAGCGGTGCGAGAGAGACAGAGCGACGTGACGACTCTCCGGCTTCCCTCGCGTGCCCCGTGCGCGTTAGCAGCCCGACAATGACGTGGCGACCCGGCCGGCTGAGCTCAGGAGGTCCACGAATAAACCAGCAGACTGATTCCGAGAGTCTCTTTCGTCGCGGTGTCTCACCCGCACTGTACGCTGCGTCCCATGAGTGCGAGAGAGGCAGAGCGACGACAACGACTCTCGGGCGGGATCAGTCTACAGCCATGTTGTGAGTCGTCCTCGTCCTTTTTTACAGTGGCGATTTTCGGCGAACGACGCCGACGTCGATCCCCAGGACGACCCGTTCCGCTGGCGGGGCTGGCGGTTTACGCGGCGAAAACGGAACGACGGGGGCTTATTTCGCGCAAAAATGGATTAACCCCCCCCCAAAAAATGACGCTGAATGTCGCTGAAACCGCTCGGGACAAGGATGCTAAACCAGATCCACGCCGTCGTAAAAGTCCCGGCTGTGACTGTCGCGGGCTAAGATCCGATAAAGCTGAGCGAAATTAATGATTGCCGGGCGAGCATGCCGCGTCGGGGCGTCAGTCTCTCTCGCACTCATGGGGAGCATGCCGCGTCGGGGCGTCAGTCTCTCTCGCACTCATGGGGAGCATGCCGCGTCGGGGCGTCTGTCTCTCTCGCACTCATGGGGAGCATGCCGCGTCGGGGCGTCTGTCTCTCTCGCACTCATGGGGAGCATGCCGCGTCGGGGCGTCTGTCTCTCTCGCACTCATGGGAGCATGCCGCGTCGGGGCGTCTGTCTCTCTCGCACTCATGGGGAGCATGCCGCGTCGGGGCGTCTGTCTCTCTCGCACTCATGGGGAGCATGCCGCGTCGGGGCGTCTGTCTCTCTCGCACTCATGGGGAGCATGCCGCGTCGGGGCGTCTGTCTCTCTCGCACTCATGGGGAGCATGCCGCGTCGGGGCGTCTGTCTCTCTCGCACTCATGGGGAGCATGCCGCGTCGGGGCGTCTGTCTCTCTCGCACTCATGGGGAGCATGCCGCGTCGGGGCGTCTGTCTCTCTCGCACTCATGGGGAGCATGCCGCGTCGGGGCGTCTGTCTCTCTCGCACTCATGGGGAGCATGCCGCGTCGGGGCGTCTGTCTCTCTCGCACTCATGGGGAGCATGCCGCGTCGGGGCGTCTGTCTCTCTCGCACTCATGGGGAGCATGCCGCGTCGGGGCGTCTGTCTCTCTCGCACTCATGGGGAGCATGCCGCGTCGGGGCGTCTGTCTCTCTCGCACTCATGGGGAGCATGCCGCGTCGGGGCGTCTGTCTCTCTCGCACTCATGGGGAGCATGCCGCGTCGGGGCGTCTGTCTCTCTCGCACTCATGGGAGCATGCCGCGTCGGGGCGTCTGTCTCTCTCGCACTCATGGGGAGCATGCCGCGTCGGGGCGTCTGTCTCTCTCGCACTCATGGGGAGCATGCCGCGTCGGGGCGTCTGTCTCTCTCGCACTCATGGGGAGCATGCCGCGTCGGGGCGTCTGTCTCTCTCGCACTCATGGGGAGCATGCCGCGTCGGGGCGTCTGTCTCTCTCGCACTCATGGGGAGCATGCCGCGTCGGGGCGTCTGTCTCTCTCGCACTCATGGCGCGCTCCGCGAGGTGCGAGAGAGACGGTGGAAAAACGCGGTGCGGAATCGGCCTGCTGCAAGCCCTCCGCCTCACATCCGCCGCAGAGACCCTGTTAACGGTGGTGCCGCTGGGGCAATGGCGCCGCCACTGGTAGAATCCGTGAGGGTTGCCACTTGTAGAACTCGCCAGAGGGCCTCCACTGGTAGAATCTGTCAGAGGGCCTCCACTGGTAGAACCCACCAGAGGGTATCCACTGGTAGATCCCACCAGAGGGCCGCTACTGCGGCAGAACCCGCCAGAGGGCCGCCACTGCGGCAGAACCCGCCAGAGGGCCGCCACTGCGGTAGAACCCGCCAGAGGGCCGCCACTGCGGTAGAACCCGCCAGAGGGCCGCCACTGCGGCTGAACCCGCCAGAGGGCCTCCACTGGTAGAATCCGCCAGAGGGCCGCCACTGCGGCTGAACCCGCCAGAGGGCCTCCACTGGTAGAATCCGCCAGAGGGCCCACTTGTAGAACCCGCCAGAGGGCCTCCACTGGTAGAACCCCCGCCCCTAGTAGAACCCGCCAGAGGGCCGCCACTGGTAGAATCCGCCAGAGGGCCCACTTGTAGAACCCGCCAGAGGGCCTCCACTGGTAGAACCCCCGCCCCTAGTAGAACCCGCCAGAGGGCCGCCACTGGTAGAACCCGCCAGAGGGTTGGCTCCGTCGTGCTCAGTGCACTGCGTGTTGCCGACCAACGCGCGGTGGCGGAAGCGTGTTGCTCTGCTCGCGCTTTGACGCCCCACTGCAAGTCCGTAGGAAGTACACGGCATTGCTTTGTTGCGCGCCAAGCCTTCTCCGCCGTTCCGCTCCGCTTGTCGGTTTGTCGGCAGGCCTCCTCGCCGGCCTCGTAAAATGTTAGCGCGCTAAAGGCCCGTGTCGATGGCCTTAAATAATGAGGTCTTTATGGCCGCCGTGAGTCAAGTCGCGCCACCGATAATCGCCCTGCATACTGATTCCGAGAGTCGCTTTCGTCGCTCTGTCTCTCTCGCACTTATGCGGGACGCCCTACGAGTGCGAGAGAGACGGAGCGACGAAAGCGACTCTCGGAATCAGCCCGCTGCATACGGAGTACGGAGGCAGGCACACTTTGGCTGCCCCGGGGGAAGGAAGGCAGCATTTTACTCCCCGTATTTGCATTTTCGGATTTGTATTGTTGTTGTGGTTTTCGGTTTTCGTTTGGCGGCGAGGGGCAGCCACGCGCCACGCGTATGCCGGTGCAGCAACGACGGCCCAAACTGCACTCGAAGAAAAAAGACAGTGTTGTAGATCGACTTTGTTGTGATGATCGACTTTGTTGTGGTGATCGACTTTGTTGTGGTGATCGACTTTGTTGTGGTGATCGACTTTGTTGTGGTGATCGACTTTGTTGTGGTGATCGACTTTGTTGTGGTGATCGACTTTGTTGTGGTGATCGACTTTGTTGTGGTGATCGACTTTGTTGTGGTGATCGACTTTGTTGTGGTGATCGACTTTGTTGTGGTGATCGACTTTGTTGTGGTGATCGACTTTGTTGTGGTGATCGACTTTGTTGTGGTGATCGACTTTGTTGTGGTGATCGACTTTGTTGTGGTGATCGACTTTGTTGTGGTGATCGACTTTGGACGATAGGTTGAATTCGACAGCTGCAGTCGACAGTCAAGCACTGAGAATGAAATCATACCACATTTTGGGCAAGGTAAATTCAAATTTGGCCACCTGCGGGTAAGTATTTTGCACCCAAATTAGAGTATGGAAGTTCGTTTCCTTTACCGGGTGATAATGCAATCTGGCTTGTAGGTAGCAGATATACCATTCATCGCCCAAATTTGGATGAGGAGTCCTTCCCTTCACCCAAATTTGGGTGGGGTATTTTATCAATTTTATAAAGTAGCCTATCAAACAGAGTTGATCACCACCATGACAAAGTCTCTCTTGCGTCGTGCAAGTGTTGCGTGCTGCAGTGCATGCGTATGCAGAATGGGCACCGCAGTGGTCCGGTCCACCGGCCGTCCGCTCATGGTCCGCCCGGACGCAATCACGGCCACTAATGTGTGGCGAGCACCGCGACTACCGCGCTGCCGGTTCAACGCACGGCGGGGCGCCGCGCCGCCCAAGCCTCTCTAGGCCAGCTCGGGACAGCCTGGGCCGAGGCCTGGGCCGGACAGACGTCATGACGAACGGGCCGCTATTTTATCAATCAGGCATCTGCGAAAAATACAACTCTCATGAGGGAAACGACGGTTCTGGGAGTACTTTTAAGAAATCAAAAGATTCTTTCTCAAAACAAATTACTTCGTTACTTTTTAAAAGAAAAATTATTTGACTGTAAAAAAATTTTCTTCTTTACAAAATAAAATAGGAGGACGGTGGTTTTGGAAGGGTGCCGGAATAAATAAGTCGTCCTCACTGGGCCAGCGGGTCGGTCTCAAGCCCTGCAGACTGATTCCGAGAGCAGTTTTCCGTCTCTCCGTCTCTCTCGCACTATCGTGGGGCGTAGCATGCAGGTGCGAAAGAGACAACGCGACGAAGACGAGTCTCGGAGTGTGGTGTGCAGGCACACTGTGCAGGCTCGCGCTTCGCGACCACGCCCCTCGCGACGCCACGCCGTCACTAATAGCGGCACGCGTGTGTGCAGCCAGCAGACTGATTCCGAGAGTCATCCTCGTCGCTCTGTCTCTCTCGCACTCATGGTGCGACTCGGATGGATGCGAGAGAGACAGAGCGAGACTCTCGGAATGAGTCCGCTGGCTGCAGGCGCCCGGGGCGCTCATTCTTGTCCCGGCCATT